GCGGGACGCGCCTTTGATCGACTTCGCACGCTCGTCTAATCTAGGGGTCGTCAGCGTCGTAGTCGCTCCAGGACACAACCCTTTAGAAATGGGGCCAACTTGAGGGATAGAACTGGTAACTATGATTCATTCGGGGTGTACAAGGTGTCCTCGTATCTTTCAGAGTTCCGCTTTAGTAGACTGGGGCGTTCGTCGCACAATCGGATGGCGAGATTGTGACCCCGCTTTGACGAATTGTCCGCANGCGTTCGTCGCACAATCGGATGGCGAGATTGTGACCCCACTTTGACGATATGTCCGTGCGTTATTGCCACTTATCGCGCGCACCCAAGTGTTTTTTTGAACCACTTTCTACCCCATACCAACCATGGCCCTCAAGAAAATTACTCCTACCGTGACTAAGAAGTACCGCTCCATAGTTGGCAAACCTGGCGAAAAGGGCACCTCCAAGATCGAAAGCTGGTTTTCGAAGGGGCAACAACCGGGCACCGACAACGAGGACCAGCAATACGACGTCGCCAAAGCTCTGGAATCTCATGTCGCCGCTAACGAACACGATGAAGTGGATCTGGGCAATGTGCAGCAACAAGACGCTGCCCCAGTCTCCCAAAGTTCGGAGGTTGACGCCAATGAAAACACACGCGTTGAACTTGTCGCAGAAGCTAAGCATGCTAGTGCTGAGAAAAAGCGGCTTGAGACTGAAATTACCGACCAAACATTGGTTGCGATTGCTACTTTAAAGCAACAAATCAAGAAGCTCGCTGACTCAAAGGAACAACTGGACGCCAAGCTCAAGGAGTTAAAGCAACAAATCGGGGCCGACCGTCAGTTGAATCAACAAAAGTATGCTGACCTCGCTGAGTCAAAGCAAGAATTGGTCTTTGGGCTCGCCACGTTAAAGCTGGAAATGGAAATTGAGCTCGCCAAGGCAAAGCTGGACTCTGAGCTCGCTAAGTCAAAGCTGGACTCTGAGCTCGCTAAGTTAAAGCTGGAAATGGAAATTGAGCTCGCCAAGGCAAAGCTGGACTCTGAGCTCGCTAAGTCAAAGCTGGACTCTGAGCTCGCTAAGTTAAAGCTGGAAATGGAAATTGAGCTCGCCAAGTTAAAGCTGGAAATGGAAATTGAGCTCGCCAAGGCAAAGCTGGACTCTGAGCTCGCTAAGTCAAAGCAACAAATCGAGGTCGACCGTCACGTGGTTGAACAATTGCGCGCTGCGCTTACCCAATTAGAGCAGCAAAACGACGACTTGAAGCTGCAAAACGACGACTTGAAGCTGCAAAACGACGACTTGAAGCTGCAAAACGACGACTTGAAGCTGCAAAACGACGACTTGAAGCTGCAAAACGACGACTTGAACCAGCAAAACGACGACTTGAACCAGCGTAACGACAACTTGGAGCAAGACTTGAACGCCGGCCGTCGTATGTTTTCGGAATTCGTCGATGAATTGGAAGAATTGCACGGCGCACTTTTTGCGGAACTAGAGAAGGCTGAGACCGGCCTTCGCCTTCGCCTGGTTGAACGAGACAACGCTGAGCTTGCCCGTTTGGAGCGCCAAAAGGACGCCGAAATTG